CATTGATCTGAGCTTTGACAATGACAAAGTTTGATCCAGCTTGCACATACTATTGGCATAGTTTTTCCTAGTGCCAAAAGGGAAAGTGAACATATAGATTTAATTTTTCTTCTTCTAATTCTTGTTTGGATTTCTATTAATTACTACTCTGACTTAGATTCTGTTTTGATTATGTTTTTCCAGCTATGATACTTTAGTTTAAATGTTTGATGAGAATCTTTTAAGCTTTGATACTGTGTTTTGCTCTAATACTGTGTCTTGCTCTTGAATATCATGCATGTTTTCAGGAGAAGTCACCAATGCATTTGTATTTGACTAATATTTTTTATAAAAGTTCTGATCATCTGAATGATCTATCTAGAACAAGATAATACAAGCTTTGATAAATTTGAATTTTATTTGCTCAAACATAATATAGAAATGCTCTAATATATATGCTTAAATATGTTCAAAATTCATATACTCTAATATATAGTCTGGATAAATGCTCGGATATATTAGTTTATCACAAATGTTATATTATTGTTTGTTTGATAGATCTAAGAAAATTTGACAAATTACGTGTCATAAGAAAAGATTTGATTTTTGCAATCAAAATTGCTCATATGATTTTTTCTTCAAATCTTATATATATATGATTTACATCAGTCTAATAAAATATTTTAATCAAAGTATGTTTTCTCCTTTAATAATACCTTCAGTTTTGTAATCAAAACCCTTTCGAAAAGATTAAAATTCATTTTGTCTTATCAAAGAAAACCTTTTTCAAAATAAAACAAGATTGAATCTTTTAAAGTATGCTTGTTACTATCAAAAAGGGAGAGATTATTAAGTCAAAAGACGATTTTGTATCTTTAATGTTTTAATGATAATAAACGAAAGATTTTATTATTAAAAAGAAAATGAATTTTCTACAAAATATTGTATATTAGACGAAGTGAAAAATTCATATCACCTATAAGATGAAGAGAATCAAACAAAGCATACAATCTGTCTCTTATGTATAACTCTTTATTGAGACTAATAATAAATTTCATTAAGAGGAGTGCTACAACCTTCGAAAAGTATCCGAAGCATTGGCCGAAAATTTAAAATATTAATATTTTTTAATAATTTTATTATTAAATAATTATTTAATAATAAAATTATTAAAAAATATTAATATTTTTTAATAATTTTATTATTAAATAATTATTTAATAATAAAATTATTAAAAAATATTAATATTTTTTAATAATTTTATTATTAAATAATTATTTAATAATAAAATTATTAAAAAATATTAATATTTTTTAATAATTTTATTATTAAATAATTATTTAATAATAAAATTATTAAAAAATATTAATATTTTTTAATAATTTTATTATTAAATAATTATTTAATAATAAAATTATTAAAAAATATTAATATTTTTTAATAATTTTATTATTAAATAATTATTTAAATTAATATTTTATAATTTAAATTAATTTTTTAAAGATTCGAAACGTATTTCGGAATACATTTTCGAAGGTTGTAGAATTTTTCATTTCATTAAATATTTACCCCTAAACAAATCAAACAAGAAATATGTTTCAGAACTCTCAAAATCTGTTATAGAAGGGAAAGTCAAGTTATTTGTCAGAATTAAAAAGCAAAATCTCATATATCATGGAAAAAACTAAAAAAGGCTCTACAAGAACTGCTCTACGCTAACACTAATGGCTCTACATTGATATTACTTCTGCTTTGTCCATTTAGAAAGAAATTATGATAAATAATATCCTAAATCAGATAAGAGATACACACTTTATTAAAAAACATTTAATGTTCGCATTAAATGAAGCAACGATACTCTCTTTCCTCTAAGATCAACAGTGAAGATAGACAAAGCAACTTGTGAGTTCAACTCAAAATTATCGCAATAATTATCTTCTCTAAAGCTATTATATAAGGATCAAGCTTTCAAACAAATACAGAGATATACACATGCATACAAAGAAACAATCTCTATGAATTCTGTATAGATTATTTTGTACTTTCATTTTAGGTTGCAACATGTTTAGAAGATATGAAACAACCTCATAATCTCTTGTAACCTTTGTTGTAAAGGGTTAGCCTGAAGAGGCTTGTTTGAAAGAATACTTGTTATCAAGCTTGAAGAGGCTTATTTGCAAGAATATTTGTTATTAAGCCAGGAGAAACTTGTTGTTCAAAGAATACTCGGATAATTGTTTGAAGAGGCAAGTCAAATACTACTTAGAAATGAGTCAGAAGTGGCTTATTAAAAGAATACTTGTATCAGTAGTTGAGATGAACCAGTATAAAATTTCAGTGTTTCACTTAACTCTTCTCTAGCCCTTCATCTATTAAGTTTTTATTCTCTTCATTGCTCAAAAGTGTGAGTTTTTTATACACACTATTCAATCCCTTTTAGTATGTGTCTTTACTCCACAAAACTTAATTAACTATCAAAGAAAAAGAAAAATCTATTTTTTCATAAAGGAGATGAATTAAACTCAAGCCAAATGTTAAGTTACATGCTACTTTGAAAAGGATGAAATTAAAGAAGAACAATAAAAAGAAAATTTTACAAAAAATAAAATAATGAGTAAAAAAATAAACTTCAAATTTACCTTTGCAAAGAATAATAATACATGGAGAAGAGCATGAAAACTTGATGATAGAAATGGACAAAAGAAAATGGAATAAAAAAATGAAGAAAAAATTGTTAGCACAAACCTAAAATCTAAAGAGAAAATATTGAATCTTTGAGGAATAAAATAGGTTTTCTGACAATATTTTTAGGTGAGGAGAAAATATAAGAAGAGAAAAATATTCATGAAGCTTGTTTCGGTTATACATGTCTCTTTAATACATCAATAAATCTCATCATCATCAATCCACCATATAAAGAAAAAGATTTAAATATTTTAGAGAGATTTAAATTTGATTGTGACATATGAGAGGAATAAGAGAAAAATGATGAGAATAAAGAAAGAGAAATTTGATGATGAAAGAAAAAAAAATCAAATTTAATTTTTGAATTAATCTGGAGAAACAATGTGTACATTATAAATAGAAGGTTTTGTGTATTTATGTGCATTGCATATGAAAGTTGTCTGTGGTTATTAAAGATTTTTATTTTTTGAATTTCATTAAAGATTTTTATTGAATGGACAACGAATAATTCTTTCTTATTAATGATTGTGAGATGATATAGACAAATGCAAATAATATATAATTTTGTTTAGATTCAATAATAAATATATAATTTGCATGAGAGAAAAAAATGTTGCATAACTATAATAAGATTATATTGTAAAACTTATTTAAAAATATATTAATATTACAAAAATAATAATTTGAAGCCAATAAATAAAATAAATTAATAAAATATATAATTATGCCACAAATATTTATTCAATATAATATATATGAAAAATAAAATAAAAATATTTATGAAATTTTCTATCTACATTTATTTTAAAACTATCCAAAAAAAGATTAACAACTACAAAGTAAAACCAATCATAATTGTCAAAAGAATTATCGCAACTAAGTCAGAATTATACCTCCAGATAACAATAATCACCATCAAATATCATTTAATAAAAATTAAGACATACGAAAGGTGACTCAGTAAAAAAAAATGAGTATAAAAAAGAATTTTATATGCTAATATTAAGATAGATGTTATATATATATATATAATGCTCATTGTAATATCATTTAAAAACAATAGTTTTTCTTTTTCTTATAAAAAACAAATAATTAATATAGTTCATAATTATTTTGGAGAGATATTTACCTAACAATTTTTTTTACATGAATTTATGTTACAATGTCTTATACGTGAAAAAAAAATTTACGTGAATTTTGTGAAATCAATTTTAATGTAGTTTTTTTATATTTATTTTAAAATTGTTCATAGTTAATAATTAAATATAATTAATGTTTTTATTATAATGTTATGATTTTAGTTTCCTATAATTAATGTCTTTTCTTTATGAAACATTTCGAAGGAAAATAATACTTCTGACATTATTTGTTTAAAGAGAAATAATATTTGAGAAATTGTTTCCTTTAAATTCTGTTTATATTTATTATAAAATCATCCATAATTAATAATTAATATAATTAATATTTTATTGATTAAAAACCTAATTTGATCCCTTATAATATTAAAAAGTTTCAATTTAATTTCACTTTAATTTTTTGTTTTATTTTGGTCTCAATTTAATTAAAAATACCTCATTGTGGGACTTCTGTCCAAATTTAACTAACGAAGTTAACTCTTGGTCAAGTGGATGTCAACGTGAATTTACCTGAAGTTTTCTTCTTCTCTCTTCTTCTTCTACCGAAACCCTAGACCTCCACCAATTCTTCGAGAGAACTAATACTTTAAAAGTTGTTTTAGAAAAAATAATACTTCAGAAAATATTTATTTATATATATATATATATATATATATATATATATATTAAAATTGTCATAATTAATAAAATCAATGTTTTATTATGAAATTTATTTAAAACATTATTTATATGGTTACAATTTCAATTTTCTATTATTAAATATTTTTAAGCCAATTTCCATTATAACTTTTTATACATGAAGTATTCTTAAAATAAATTTTGTGAAGGAAAATTTAACATCATTTTTCTTATTTGTATTTCATAATAGAATTTTGTTACGTGAGTCTTTGTTACAATTTCCTACACATAAAATATTCTTGAAGAAAAATTCATTAAAGAAATTTTAGCATAATTATATTCAATTAAAAATTTTCATAATAAATAATCAATGATTAATATCACTAATAATTTATAAAAACAAAATTATATTTAAAGTAAATCAAAATATTTGATTTAAAATTAAATTTAACTAAATTGGTAAAATTATCCTCTTATAAATATTTCTCATTTCGTTTCTTCTACTTTTCCACGTAACCAAACAAATAAAATAAATCACCCTATATCATTTATTCATGATACAAAATTTCATGAAAACATCACTAAAATTAATATTTCTTTCCATTCACCTTAAAGGACACCCACAGTGGAGCATTTCAAAATCATGTAATGTTCCTGGCCATGATGATGACATCCCAATGCAATTGCAGGGGCCATTCAGCATAAACAGCGACAACTATAAAATCTAGGTCCTATCAAATCAAGTGATAAACATAAATTGATCAATCAGTGATCTATCATCCACAAGTTAAATTATATAGGAAATGGAAACTTCAGAGATAATCAAAGAACCAATTCCACAGCAACCACCGTCAAATTTCAGGAAGATCCTCGTTGCCAATATTCTGAGAAAACTGTTGTGTCTTCAAAAGCAATCTAGATAACCTAAGAAACAACCAGATTGCTGTAAACAGTTGCAGAAAATAAAAGACCAATGAAATTATCATTGTCCAAAATAAAATCACTTCTTTTTCTTAAGTTGTTTAACATTTTTGGCATTGGCTTGTTCTCTGGTTTTGCGTTTCCTGGTGAGAGCAAACTCCCCAAACTTATGACCCACTTTTCCCTCGGTAATCTTACAACGAATAGTGGTTTTTCCATTGTAAATCTTGACACTGGTATCAACAAATTCTGGCAAGATAGTGGATCTACGTGACCAAATGGTCTTGTTTGACAAAAGATTTGGGTTCTTCTTCATCTTGTACAAGAATGCATCAATGAACGCTGGTTTGCGTGACACCAGAGGAGGTGGGGGAGGCTTCTTAGTGACAGTATTTGCTGCATCGCCAACCATTCCAAGAAACTGCTTATTCAGAGCCCTAAGCATCATTGTGGGCCTCATTTTTCCTAGTCAAACACAAAATGCAAACCATAAGATTGAAATACAGAAAATCACACCAATGTGCGGTCATTTACACATATACTAAAGGAAACGGGATGCATTTTTTGCTTTAATTATGTTTTATCCATTCAAACATAGTGACTAATATTAGGAGAGGCTTGGGGTTATGTATTTTGTGCCAAAATCATTTTTTCTTTTCCATAAAATAATTAAGAAACCAGTCAAATTAGTCCTTGAATGCTATAGAGTAGGTAACATTAGTTCTTGAATGACAGAAATTATGCTTAAGGTTCTAAAATGTGTATTTCTCAGGACAAATCAGCCTTTATATCACAAATCTCAGAGACTAATTTTACTAACAGAACACATATTGAGGAATTAATTTGACAATTAATAGTAGCATGTTTGGTTCCCTGTTGGTGCACTTTACAAAGCAATTAAATGTAAAAAAATAAAAAATAACTGAGTTGCTTTGAAGCCAATTTACATTTTTTTCACACAAAGTTCATTTCATTTCTGTAGGGATAAATACAGCTTGGTCTGTAATAAAAAAACTTGGGCACTATCATGGAATTGCAATGCCCCGTGCCAAATGATGGGTGACATAATTAGCTTGCCTCTTAATAAAACTTATCTCAAAGTTTGGAAAAAAAACTAAGCCATGTTTGCATGTATGCAAAATAGCTCATATCTCGGATAGAGCTGTTCAATTACCTTTAACCTCATCTATCACAGCTTTACAATCTAACTCTATGATGACCCTGTGATATCCGAATTCCATAAGCCAGTTGATTGTGATGTTTTGGGGGCACAATTTACCCACTACGATCTCCCATCTATACATACCAAAATTTATATTGGTGTGTATGGATAGGGAATTGTAGTGGGAAAGTTGCCGTTCTTGATTAAAATAACTGACTTGTAACAATCCTTGTAGCATCTCTGAGTAAAGCCCCACAACTTACCCACTACAATCCCCCATTCATACAAAGCAAAATTCATGTTGAGACCCATGGAAACAGACCATGAAAAATGGAAGCAATAAACAAAGAGGAGTTATGCAAATTTCACAAAGTTAGACTCCAAAACAACCATTCATAATTAAGGACAAACAAATTGAGGCTACAAAGCTCCAAACCTCAGATCAACAGTGAAAATTTCTTAATCTCAACACTGAAGCACTTAATCCATAAGGTGTCGATGTTAGTAATACACAATGAGAGCCCAAATTAGGTCACCAAAGCATATAGTATCCCCTAAAGGGGGTTACAACACAGCGAAAGATACTTGTCCAATTTCTAAGAGTTTCCTTCAAATTTTTCAGTACTATATTATTATGGTTTGATTCACAACACTGAGTATAAACTGTTAGTCCTAAGAACCACAACATATCCTTCCAGTGATAGCAAAAGTGTTTATACAAAGTATCACAGAGAAGCCTCCCTCCGAAAAACAATGGAAATGGAACAGTGGAAATGAGCCACAAAAGGCTTATCGGAAATCGAGCAGCAACGGTGGAAGAAGCCTCCCTCCGAAAAACAATCACAGAATTTCTAAATCACCAGGGCAAAACAAAACCAATGAAGGAAAGGCAGAGCGAAGTGAAGTGATGAATCGTAGAAAAGCTTTACCATTTTGCTACCCGCATTTTCTTAAAATTAATAACAATCTATATATACTACATAGAAAAAATTTATCATCTGTGAAATTAATGTGTGAGTCCACAAAGATCAGATTGATATTAAAAAAAAATAAGAACATCATTTTACAAGTATTGATTGGTCGCAAGGTAAAAAAAATAAACACAATATTAAGACCTAACTATCAGGAACTAGCAGATTTATTCCTAAACCATAAATATTAGTCGAGAAAGAAAAAAAGGAACAAACGAAGATACGTTACATGAGTGCGCAACAATTTAACTTTGAACGGCACTTGTAGAATAAAAAACTGATCTAAGAATATAATTAATCGAAAAAGGTTTCTCAATCCAAATCAAGAGCAAAAAATTCGATAAAAGATAGAGTGCAGAATGTGTTAATTCCGATTGAAACTGAAGACTTACACACGCACACACACCAGAGACAGTGTGGTCGATTGAGACTTGAGAGAGAGTGTCGAGTTCCGATTTGCGGTGAAGGGGAGGATGCGCCGCCGTGGAAGAAGACTAACTTACGGCGGTGGGAGGAAGAGGCATATCGCGAGAGAGTGAGAAATTGAAAGTGCATTTTTCTGTTGTAATGTAACTTTTTTGTAATATAAAAATATCAAATATTTTTGGAAATTGAAATAATTTTACAAAAAAAAAATTATGAGATTAAAATAGTATGAAAAAATAATATTTCAATAAAATGATCAGAAATAATGACATTATAATGTTACGAGAGTGCTAATATATATATTGGTATTATTATTATTATAATTATAACTACATTACTATTATTAGTACCACTAGTATTCATATAATTACGATAAAATTGTATAAAATAAAATAAAAACATTAAGATGATACTGTAATAGTGAGATATAAAAGACTAATTAATTATTTTCATGAAATTGATAAATAATAATAAAAGAATTGTTGTATATGATAATTTATAGCTAAACCATGTTATTATTATAGAAAAAAACTAGAAATAATAAATTTTTTTATTTTTCTTAAATAAAATTAAAAAATATACAGATGCTATTGTATATAAGTTTAAAAGTATTAAGATGGCATTATATATAACTATATGAAATATAAAATACTAAGAAATTGGTTTAACAATTATAAAATATGCTAGTTACATCCTATTATCATAAAACATCCAAATTTCAAATATATAACATAAAAATAAGATTATTATAGAATCTCTCGATATATTTTGACAATTATTATTATTATTATATAAAATAATTTTCAACATAAAATAATAACAATATTTTTATATATATAAAGAATCTACTTTTTCTTTTTCATAAAAATTGTTTATTGCTCTCTTAATTTATTTTAGTCATCAAAACTGTATCCACTAGTTTTGTCATAAAGCATTAGTCTTAAATGACACTAATCACTCTTATTAAAATGAACAATGTGCTTAGACTTTGATTTAGTGAAACATTAATGATTTCTTTTTGTGTTAAATTAACAACTATCTTTGGTTGTGACAGATTTCAAATTACATGTATTCATTCTCATAGATTATCTAACTTGTTAGTGTCATTCCTATTTAGTAACTATAACAAGAAACACTAAAATTACAAATTATTGTCACAAAAATTATATTTCTTGATCTGTATTATTACTTTTGTGAGCTATGTTTCATCATAGAAGACATTGAGAAATGTAATTTTGACCATCTCTAACATGGTTCAAACATTAGGCTTTGCATATTGATCGTTTCCAACACGTAATTTATTAATCCTGCTTTTTACACCGTCAATTTCTACATATTTTTTTACACCATTATTTTACTACTTATTTTTCTTAATCAAACATTTCTATCTACACTTCAGTGTTTTTTTTAATAACCTATAATAGAAAATGACCAAATTATATATGTAAACTAACGATTAAATTACATTAAGAAAAATATGACAACCTATGCATCAAGGGTCAATATTTTCAATAGAAAATATTCAGAAAAATCAGTATATCAATATTACTATATTTAACTGCAGATTAAATATTATTAATTTTTTACTTTGTGTTGTTAATACTTCCAGTTTTTTTTTAAAACATTTTAATATTGCTTCTTCTCAAATTTATATAAAACATTTACTACGTCATTATCATTATATGCCATGAAACCATACTCATACCTTGAATGATTATACAAATAAGTTAATTCTGTTTCTTTTTTATTTTCCTAAATGTTAATAACCATATTAATAAATTACTCCCTGTGGGACTTTACCTTTAAATATGATGCATTTTAGTTTTTAATTACAATTTCATGCAAAAAATGACAATTGACATGGTCAATTTCTTAAAAAAATATATACAAAATAATTTAAAGACATCATTTTTATTCTGTCTAACGAAGTAGAAATTCATATTTCTGCAGAAAAATTAATAGAGAAATCATGTATAACTGCGTGATCAAAATTAATTTGTACCATATCTTTATGATGAAATGACTTGGTTTTATAACATTCAAATCAAGGAATAACACCAATATTTATATAACCTTATGATAGTAGATAAACAGTGGAAATGAGATGCCATGTTATACACGCTTTTCAAAAGCCAAAGAATATGAAACATACAACAGGGACATCATCCTCAGGAGAAATTTGAGAAAGGATGATTAATCAAAATTTCGGTGCAGATATATTTCTGTACAATGATAGAACATCTACTCTGCTGCTATACAATTTTTAACTGTCGTAACTTATCCGAGCTTTTCTGTTTGTTTCTACCTTCCTCTTTGTATATATGGGGGGGTCATCTTCATGTCGCCAGTTTCCCTTCAGAGACTTGAGTATCATCTGATGAATCTGGGGATTGAGATTTGGGTTTGCTCGTAATTCTATTATATCCATATCCAAAAGAATTTCCATTTGATTCGGATAGCTGAATAAACAAACAAACAAACCAAAAGTAACAATTCCATTCAGACATCAATCATATACAAAACACAACGTGTCCATTATGTAATTTCCAACTATCAGAGTTTATAGATAGCCGCTGTGCACATTTGATTAAAGGAAATACGTACTTCAGTGAGCTCAGACAGATGGCGAGATCTGAATTCATTTATAGTTGCTGCAATCTCCGATGTAGGAAGTTTAGCCTGAAGAGAGAAAGGCTTATTTAACTAAGATCGTCCGTAGCATCGACTAAAGACTTCGTTAACTAGAAAAATGATATGAACCTTTTGTATGTTCTCATTCTGATAAGACCTAAATGAAACATTTGCTTATTTTATTTTCAATTTCTTCCCCACATACCTACTAAAAAAACATCTAATATCTACAATGAGATGTACGACCAATTTTACCATGCCATAAAGAGCAAAAATATACTCATACTATTTCTAAGAAAATATAACCATAAAATAAGTAAATGATGGATATGAATACGATAAAGAGAAAATAAACAGAAGCTCAGACAATGCGACATAAAGATTCAACCAAAACAAAATACGAACATAATATTTTAATTTTGCCTCAACGAACGGAAAATAAACAGAAGTACAGATAATGTGACATAAGGATCCAACCACAACAATATACGAACATGATCTTTTACCTCAATGCCCGGTGTTTGTCATTATCAGATAACAGTATTAATAAAATACTAGGACATAGAAAGTTCGTACTTTTGAGTTTTGATGAATTTATCTTCTCAAATAACAACATAATAGTTACCTGAGCAAGCACGGCAGCTGCTAGTTGTAGACTTGGTTCCAAGGTCTCTGGGACAACCTGCAAATATAAGTGGCAGAGAGATAAATAGACAAGAAAGACAAGATCATCGATGAGTATTCCAATGACAGCCAATTTGGCTAAATATACAATAGTTCAGAAAAATATTTCCAAAATTTTCCACAAGGCAATCATAACTAATAATGTAAGAGGTATAGAATATTACAGCGGTAGCTCCAGCCTTTTCTAAATTCAATCCATGATCAACATCGTGAGCACGAACAAAAGTCTTCACGTTTGGGAAGTGCTTGCTCAGAGCCCAAACTGTTCTATAATTTGCACCCGGGGAATCTAGGGTTACTGCAGCAGCACTTGCCCTTTCGGCCCCAACCTTATGTAGGACCTTATCATGCAGTACAAAGCATGTCAGGTAATGAACATGCATTCAAACTCAAGTACTGAAGTCATATGCACTACCTCTCGACTACCAGCATCTCCAAAGTACACAGGGAGATCCAGGGAACGCCCAACTGTGACTCTATCACTGCAGACATTGGCAAATTATGAAGATAGATTAAGTTATAATCTGCTTTCCTGTCCAAAATTGTACATATGATATCGCACATCTTTGGAGAATACTATACAATAGAATCTTGATTAACATCCAAAGATTATCCCATCCTTGTCACTTAGCACCCGCATTATTTAACAAGAAACCAACCAATTTGGGGATTTATCTCTATTCAAAGTATTGAGAAATACACAGAATCCAACAATTCAGAAAGACAGCAAAATCAAATGATTTTTCAGTTAACCCTTTAATGCCAAAAGAAAGTCAGAAACTGATGAACAAGCAAATAGCACATTCATCTAGATACCTCATGAATAAAGAAAGAGACACAATATGATACTAGTCCTTTCTTTTTTTCCCTTGGCAGGGCAGAGTTTAGAATATCATTTAACAATTCTATCCAGTAATGTTTTTTTTTTCAACATAAATAAGATCCATTAATCTTAAAAATCATTTCATAGTTACAAAATTATTTATCCAAAAGGTAATATACAATAACAAGAAAAACTATTTTCAGTTACTATTGACTATTGAGTTACCTTCTCACGTCTAATGCAACAAAAGGGATAAGTTGCTCAGAAAGAAGTTGTGCAATGATCTGGAAAAAACAAAATGCTAACTGTCATATTTAAATAACAAAATGATAAATGATTAAAACTAATTAATTAAACCAAAAAAGAAAGAACTCACCTGCCCAACTCGCCCAAATCCACAAATAATAATATGATTTTGCAGATCATCTGTCTGTAAAAGATGTTCTCCAAAAAGAAGTCAACACCTAATTTTACATGTCAAATCTAAAAAACACAAATGCTGAAACAATATGATCTAACTGCCTCCAAACACGGTTTCAGCTTATCATGACTCTGCCCCCTCTCTTTTAACAGAAGGTATAATTGTCAAGCTGTCCTACATAGTAAACACATTTATAGTTTCTCTGCCTAAGATATTCTGTCCAAAACACTATGAGTATCATTACAAAGATAAACACAAGACAGTGAGTGTTTGCGTGACTGTAATAGTGTAATTGACTGACCTTGTGCAAAGTTAACTGCCTTAGTTTGCTTTTTAATTATTCATTTATATTACCTCCACTTTCTCTAATAATAAATGTCATAAATTTAATGCTTTTTCTTATTGCTACCGTTTGATGCTCAATGGGATTCACATGGGCAATGACAGCCACATAAATTTTATGACTTTATTCTGGGTACAAAATGGTAACTTGGAGAAAGAAAAATCTTAAGTCGGTTGTAAGCAAACATTTCTCTATTTTCTTTTTACTACTGTAGACACTACCCAGCTGTACTGTCACTCCTGGTCAAGACTTGCTTTCGTGAAACACAACATATAATCCATTGAGTTGTAAATAAAAAAGATGGTATTCAGTCCACCAGAGTGTTTTAGCAATAAATTTCACAGCCTTTTGCAGTTAAAAGTCCCTGTCAATCACTCATGCAGGTGATCTTACCTCACTTTCTACAGGTAATAAACTTCTAACATCATGCAGCTCAAAACGGGAAGCAAGAAGCTGTCCTCCTGCAGCTAGCCATGGAGTGAGGGCCATTGAAATTCCCACAACGAGAAACAGTAAAGAGGACATCTGGGAAGACATTATGCCCTGCATATAATATCAAATAGCAAATATTAGTTTTTATAGCAGATTAAATTTCAATGAGGAAAAAAATTTTGAGCAACTATCAGTAAATTTATCTCTGTTTTGCATTTTTCAACTTCCATCTTTTAAAGATAAAAAATTATCAAGAAAAAATGCAGAAATGACAATAGTAAGCATAAAATAAACTATTTTGAAACAACGAAACAACTTTTAATAAAATAATTATACAAAAATTCATAGAAATAAGAACCATGAAAGTAGAGCTCAACAATATGTTATGATACTCACTCAAGCCAAATAAACACAGAAAAATAGCAAAATTTGGCTACTGTTTTATTGGGTATCTAATAATAGATCAACTTCCTGAGTATAAATCGAAGGAGGAATAGTAATCAATTACAATATGAAATCAAAATTGAACCAAGACTAATTAGAATAGAAGGGAGAAGGAACTCCTAGAGGAAGAGATTGAATAATTACATTTTACACACTTCCTTTTTCCTTTTTCTCTTATACACATCATACTCACTCATAATCTCTCCACCTACAGTTAGTTATCCTCATTTTGTTGCTCCTCCTGACTTCCTCAATTTCAGTATATGTAACTATTGTTGTTGGCTCATTGCTTTCGTTTGGAATATTCACATTGGGCCTCCTTAAATTTCTCTCCCCTTTTAGAACAAGGTTGCTTTAAAAGGGAATGGAAATGAAATGTAAGGAGGCCCGATGAGAATATTCAAAACAAAAGCAATGAGTCTGCAGAATTAGTTACAGATACTGAAATTAAGTTAGAAAGAGCAACAAAATGAGGATAAGTAACTCTAGGTGTAGAGATTAAGTGTGAGGATGAAGTGTATAAGAGGAAAAGGAAAAAAGGAAGTCTGTGAAATGTGATCCCTCTCTCTCTTTCTCTGGATGTCCCTTTCTTTGCTGTCTTCTATTCAAATTAGTCTCAGTTCAATTCTGACTTCATATTGTAATTGGTTACTGTTCCTCCTATGATCCATACTATGGGTGTTGGTCCATTGTTAGATACTCAATAAAACAGTAACCGAATACTACTATTTTCCTGTTTGTTTTGCTTGAGTAAGTATCAACATTTGGTGTTTTCATTGTGGATGATGGAACATGGATGAAGAAAACGGAAACCCAACTCTCCAGGCTCACTGATAATGGCAACCCAAAACACATTTTGCAGACACAACCTTGAGTTTGGAACGTATTGAAATTTACTGGAAAGCAGAATTCCATTCTACCATCTTTGTCCTCTCATAGTGGACCGAACTTGCACAACAAGAATGGTAAGATTCCCTTTCAAATGCACAACAAAAACCTCAAGTTCTCGCAGTTTGATGGCACCCATGCCTTATAATGGATCTTTAAGGCAGAACAATTCTTTGACTACTATGCCACCCTAGACCATGACTGATTGATGATTGCAGCATTTCATTTGGATCAAGATGCTATTTCTTGGTTTTAGATGATGTAATGTACTCACCTGTTTCATTCTTGGCAAGCCCTAACTCACCATTGGGACTAAGTTTGCCCATCTGTGTTTGACTCTCCTCGTGCGACCCTATTCAAATTGGTGATCGGTTTGGGACTACTACTTGGTATTTACATCTTTGGCCACTCATGCAGAAGGTTTATCAGCAGAGGCATTAATTGATTGTTTTATTAGATCAGTAGACTTCATCAAGATCTACGCAGGGAGGTAATATCAATCGCCTCTATCTTTAATTGAAGTTGTTTCTATTGCTTGATTGTTTGACGTTTGAGGACAAATATACTCAAGTTACGAAATCTCCAAATTCCTTTCCTCGCAATAAATTCCACCCTACCACTTCTCAATCTCAAAATCGCACCACCACTACTCCTTCTACCACGTCTCTTAGCACCATTAAAACCCAGCTACCATCACTTCTTCCCACCCCACCCATCAAACCTTTTCCATTATAGCCAAAAAAAACAAATATTAAACAAATTAGCCCTGCTGAGATGCAACTTTGTCAAGAAAAAGGACTTTGTTATTACTGTGATGACAAATTTTCTTTTCAACATAAATGTCCCAAAAAACATTACTACAACTACAATGGCTAGCCTTTGTGGTGTGGTTCTCCCAAGGTTCATATCACATGACTGAGCAATAATAGCAAATCTTTGGAGCATGCAATATGTACTCAAGCCCTCTTAAACCATAAAACAATTCAAAAATTTCAAGTTACTAGGAACAACGTAGTCAATAACACATGATTGTGGCACTATCGTATTGTTGTGGTGCATCTTGGGAATATAACTTGGCAACTGACTAGTTTAAGAGACATGAATGATAAGAAGGTTGTTACTTGTATTTTTGTGGCAAAACCACCATTGGTTGTATTACTTGAGTAAAGAGACATCAAATGGGAATGAGGGTAGATGTTGATAGTTGTATCAAGACTCCATTTGAAGTGGCAGCATTACTAAGAGAAGCTTGTGCGAAGAAGACTGAGAAGGAGGCATACTTCACTGTGCCTCAAGAAAGTGAGGAGGAGGAGGAAGAGGTGGAAGAAATGATGAGTATTGAAAAGGAAAAAGACCTGCAACTTCATGTGCAGCATCATGTGACCTTGTTGTCACTGCCAAGAAAGGCAAAAGCATAGGCCCATGGATGTCTAGGCAATGCAAGAACACATGATATTGCAAACCCTTATTGAGTCATATAACATCAAAACAACAGCCAGAGATAACCTAATTTTATTAACAATAGCCAAACATCTCACTTTTATACATCGGCTTACTCGAGATTTAAATTGCTAAAGGGTTGGGTGGATTGTATTTTTTACTTAAATCTTTATTTCGACATTTGTTTACAAAAGAGTCTGACGAGTCTTTTAATTTTGACATTTGTGATTTGTCAAGTTTCTAAGCATCATTGTGCATCCTTTTTGCCTAGTAATAATAAAAGTTTTTCTCCTTTTGATCTTGTCCATTCTAATGTATAGGGACCTGTTGTTGAATCTGTTTCTGAGGCCAAATAGTTTGTAACTTTCATCATTGATTGTACCCGTCTGACATCAACCTACCTTATGAAGCACAAATCCGAGGTTTGCCAAATATTTGTCAATTTTTTCTGTCTTGTCAAAAATCAGATTGGTAAGTCTATCAAAATAATTCAGTCAAACAATGAAACTGAATATTTTAACCTTGAATTTTCTAAGTTTGTTACAAAGCAAGATATTATCCATGAATTAACTGTGTTAATACTCCCCAACAAAATGGGATCACAGAAAGAAAGAATCGTCACCTACTTGAGGTTGTCAGAGCTCTACTCTTTCAAATGTTTGTTCTTAATGTCTACTGGGGAGAAGTTGTCCTAACTATTACTTATCTCATTAACCGATTATCTACTCATGTCTTATAGGGTATTAGTCTAGTTGAATAGATGTCATTTTTCTCTTCTCCCTTACTATTAAGTCTCCCATGTCGAGTGTTTGGGTGTGTTGCATTTGTTCATTCTCATAGTCCTCATCGTGGCAAGTTAGACCTAAGAGTTGTCAAATGTGTCTTTATTGGTTATCCTTCTAATAAAAAGGGGTATAAGTGTTATCATCATCAGAGTTGTCGTTTTTTTGTTTCAAAGTATGTCACATTTCATGAAATTGTATCCTTCTTTGTCAGCCCTCAACTTTAGGGGAGAGTACTCTAGAAGTTGAGTTTGTCTTTGGATCATTACCTCTTCCTTCCTTGCAAGATGTGCAAGATATTAATCTTGAAGAAGAACAAGAAGATCACAATAAGGAAATAGGGAAACAAAATAATAAAGAAATAGAGAAGCAAATATCTAAAGATATTTAGAGATATTCTAGATCTTTTAAGTATATATCATATTTACAACACATTATAAATCCACTTATCAGTTTATTTTTCCAAGAAAGTCGATCATAATCACAAACCTCCAAAATAAGTTGAAAACATCAAGATGCATATTGTTAGAAACAAACACAAGCAGGATGATGTATTTTAAATAAATGTAATCTTAAAAAATCTAGAGAACTCTAGCAAAGTAAAACAGTTTAAAAGGACAAAAACCTGATTAACAGCTTCACCAAAAGCCACAAATGCAAATTCTCCCCCAGGAGCAAGAAGAAGACCCACTCTAATGGCAGAAATGAGAGAAATACCAAACATTCTGCCAATTAAAGAAACCAACAAAGTCTTGCCGCATATCAAGAGTCCCAGAGCCCCTGTAATGACTGGAAAGTTTGAAACAAGAAGTTTTGGATCAATTGACATTCCTACCTGAAAAGTCACAAAAATTACATTCCATCAACTACACAGATTGAAGCTGGCTTGCTCAGAAAGTCAAATCTCAAGGCAGCCATTCATTGCTGTTGAAGATTAACATAAGAATTATTCCAACATAAGCAATTGAACAGCAGCTTAACAAACTATAAAATAGATATACTTGCATGAATAAATATACAACACAACTAATTAACTTTCAAATTTGAATATTATGCACAAACCGTCATAAAGAAGAGACCCAGTAGAAGGCCACGATATGGAGCAATATCGGATTCAACCTGTAAGGAAAACTCAGTTTCTGCCAGTAGTAAACCAGCCAAAAAAGCCCCTAATGCCATGGAAAGTCCAGCCTATTTTAAGTAAAGATAAATTATATTAAATAAAGGTAACAAAGTTAGCACACCAAAAATAAAGGCATCACTTCAACGTAAACAAGACTAACTTGAAGAAAACTGCCAAACCTTGGTGTGATTCAAACCCAAACGAAGGAAAAAGAAGGGAAAGGAAAAACATTGGTACAAACACCTACCCTGGCTGTTAGAAGGCTAGTCCCAAGAATAACAAAGAGTGTATTAGCAGAAAATATTTCTGCATTTTGATTCTCTGCAATCTGCTTATATATGGGTCGAAGCAGCTGTAGAAAGAAAAGTGAGAAAAATTACACGGCAAAAAGTTATAGTGCATTTAAGAAATGTCATTACATGCCTTCCTAGTTCCTAATGAACCCAAAAATATAGAGCTTATCCTTTGGGGAAAAAAACAAAAAGCTTTTATATGACATGTAGGGTTTTGATACACATATTACACATTATAAGAGTATATTACTCTATTGTATCTTTGCGGTCTGCAAGAAAGATGGCTTTTCCTTGTAATTGTTTCTTGCATACAGATGTGTTAGGTAGTAGCTTGTTGTGCAAGCTAACTTATTACTTAGTTAGTTGATAGCTTGCATATATATCATCTTGTCAACTGATTCATTCAGTCAATTCATTTTACTAAATAAAATTCAGAGATATTATTTCTTCTTTCTCTCATTCAATACATATGCTAAATGCCTGATCCATTTAATCCCACTAAACCTAGAAACTCAAGACCTCAATGTTTAACCACTACCATGCAAACTCATCTCAACCAATATAAGCAACTGATTTTATGCATTCCATTGATGATAAGTAGTACTAGTTGATAACTTCCATCCACAATGATAAGTAGATTATCTGAATGTTCACAACACCATATTGCAGATCAAAGAGATCATTGTAAAATATACAATCTGTGGAACATGGTGGCTGGTGACAGTGGTGAGTAATTTGTACCAAAACTCTACCCCCTTGTCAACCTTTAATTGTCAGCATATCTACCCTGAAGTACAACAGAATTGATGGCCTATTGTTATGCTCCATAAAAACTTGTATGATGAATTTACAAAATACTCTTATCAAGATTATTAAAAAACAAATTAGATAAACTGACAAGAAAATGTAAATATTTCCTTCAATCAGAAAAAACTAGACATCAGCTATTCAGATTTGGAATACATTTTAATCACTAGAAATAATACATCCACACCTCAGTTCTGAATACAACTTACCAACCGTCCACCTGCAATTATGGCAGTGATGGCAACCACTGCCTTAACAGCAGCCAGACCAAGAGCTTCAGCAATGGCTTGAAAACCAACCTGAACACAGAGATTGTTATTTCAATGGATGACAACATAGGCAGCAACAGCAGCATAGAATTGGTAACAATGATGATGGTGATGATAGAAGTAAGGTGAAATCATTGGCTTCCAATAAAGCATTTAACACAAACCACCTTTAATTAGAAAGAGTGAACTGTGTTTTGGTCCTTTTAATGCATATGATATATCATTAAAAAAACTAAATTATCCAATTAAGTAGTTATCTAAACAATAAAGAACTCCCACATTGAGTGAGGGGGGAGGGCAATGAATAAGTCAGAACACCCTTGTCATAAACTGTATCGTGCTACACATGAGTTCATACAACTTTAAGTAGCCATGTTCTAAACCTCACCACCATAATATTTTCAATTATCTGATATACATGTTTTAGGATAAAGAATGCTGGAAAATGTTACCCCTCCTTTGGAAGAATTAGGCGAAATAAGAGGTATGAGTATTAGCAAGACAACAACAGCCAAATCCTGAAAAGCAACAAAGACACAATAGTCAGTTTTGGTCAAAATATTGCAATACAAAAGAAGATTAAGAGATAAAAATAAACAATCAATGTCATAAACAACAGATTGACATAAAAATCACAAGATAGAGACATGGACACTAGTTGAGAATCTATACAAATATACTAAATAAGTGCCAAATATATAAATGTGCATGGCCAACTACCCTGATAAAAAGTAAAAACAGAGGACATGTTTGCTGAAAACCGTGTCTCAAAAGCACACAATGGAGCTTGCATTATATATGCCAGAGGGATTTGCTGGAAAGCTTGGACGGAAAAAGAAAAAATGGATTAATGGACTCTGGAGACACTGGGAAATTTCGGTTTCTCAGATTGCAGCCTCTGATACCATGATCAAAGGTAAAAACAGAGGCCATGTTTGCTGATTATTGTGTACACAGAGGAGCATGCATTGTATAAAACTTTTTACAATGAATACTATTAATTATAGGAGATTTTGTTCCTATAAATCAGATGTGATTTTGCCTATATAATTGCTATCTAATTAAATACAGAATATTTAAAACTGATTTTCAACATATGCCAATCAATAACAATAGATTTTACTTTCAGAATTCATCCTCCTTAACTAGAACAATGCTTGTTAACTAGGACATCCTCCTTAACTAAGATGAAGTTTAGGCAACTACATACTACAAGTATCATATTATTAAATATTTTATTTTACAAGAAAAATCCTGCAGTTTCTAGATAAATGGGTAAGCTAAAAATTAACCTGAAAAAGCAAAACAGAAAATGTAGCCCTTCCATGCCGTGACGTGCTCTCACCTCTCTCCTGTAACACCTGCAAAACAAATTCACTTGAATTATTGCCACATGACAGACTCAGCAGACCTGAAAAATAGAAGTTTCAAATAGAAAGAACACAGTCTTTAAAATTTTCAAAGCAGGACATCAGTTACAGCTATAGCCGTTAATCTTATTAAGTAATGACAACCATAAAGACATCTTTAACACATGCAGGCTACAAAGAAAATCCCATTAATATTAATACTTTCAAAAAGATAGATATCATCTTATTTCAATGTGAACATATAGCACAGTGTAAAAATTAAAAGCAAATGGAGCTAAAGTTATTTACCTGCAGAACAACAGCAGTTGAAGATAATGCCAGGCCATTCCCAATGACAATAGCAGCAGGGCCAGCTTGACCACAAATATAATGAGCCACCAAGCCGACAACTACAGCAGTCACCAAAACCTAAAATTTTACATATAAACTAAGAATTGTTGGCTTGTGCATTACTAGCATATAAATAGAATAGCCTTAGGTGAAACAATAACAAGAATGGAAGATGGAGTTTTCCAATCACCTGAGTAGAGCCTAATCCAAAGACGTATTTCTTCATTGAGCTAAGCCTTTCAACAGAGAGCTATAAAAATACAGTTCAGAGCTTCAGATTATTTTTTTACTATGGAGATGGTCAAAGCAAGGCAGAACAAGATCTTATAGGAAGCTCCACCTCCAGGCCAATGTTGAATAACAGGAAAACAACTCCAAACTCAGCTATTGCTTTTGTCCCATGAACATGACGAATGATGGAGAGACCATAAGGCCCAATTAAGATACCAGCAGCCAAGTAGCCAAGAACAGGACTGCCTAAACATTGTTGCAGGTAGATGGCTTATCAGAATCAATTTGATCAAGTTACGACTTAAAATATTCTGTATCCCAAAACATAATTCAAATAATGACTAGGACGCCTATGACGAGAGCAACAAATTTTTTTATTCAGTTCAAGTAACCAAATTTGCTCCAAACTAACAAATGGCATTTATTATCATAATCAACCTAACAAACAGTAACATAGGAAAAGAAATGTGAACTTAAAAAGATGACAATATAATCTATATACCAAAGTTTCATGCAAGCAATCTATAGAGTTTGGCACCTAATAAAATTCAAGCTGAAATATAACATTAACAAACAACTTTATTATTCTTGGATGGGCTATGTCAATCCAACATTAATAAAACATGGAAACCTAATTACCTCCAGGAATCTTTTGAAATAACGGTACAAATACAACACTTGCAAGTAGTAACCAGAGCATGTCAAAGAGGGAGGCTTCCTCCTCATCCACCTAGGATAAATAACATGCAGAGTCAGATAAAACTTAAGAAATTGAGCATGAGAACAAGGAACACAAACCTCTTGATCAGGTAATGATGCAATAATTTTCTTAAGTCTCCAGGGAAGCTCCTGAAGCTGTCTAACCAGAGGCTTTGTAGTTGAAGAAACTTCTTCAACAGTGGTTGCAATGACTTCTGGCTGCTGAAGCAGCTGAGCATTCCTCTCTGTTTTATTGGCATAGAACACAACCCTGAAATAAAATTCCACCACTTCTTGAAAAACAGTGTCAAACCTTCATATTGATCTTTGCATCTTATTGGCATAACATGGAAAGGTATCAACTTCCAAGGTAGGAATTTTATTTAATTTCACAATCAATTATTAAACAAGCCAGTGAATATTTTAGCCTTGATATGTTTCTATCATGTCACACAAAAAGAAGAAAACTATCCTCCTAATATTTCATATGTTAAACTCGTACCATAAATATTGTGTGCAGCAATATGATGTATATACCTCAAGATTGTTTCTAATATAGTTGAAATGAAAATAACAGCAAGAAAAGGCGCAGGATAAAGGAAGATTATACAAACCCTGCTCCAATTAACAATAACCCAAAAACCAGCTTGGGTAGTTGCTTCTGTACAGACTCCACAATACCATGAAAAAGTGATTCTGGTGTGTAATCGGTCTCATCAGTAGTAAAAGAAAAGAATGATGCTGGAAAAAATCGGGAAGATTTCTTCTGTAATGCCTTAGGAGCAAACGGTGAGTTATCTCTAGTAAAATCCTTTTGTGTTTCCAGCTTTTTTGTTTGAACTACATTCTTCGACTTTTCTATTTCAATTTCAGCTTCTTTAGAAGAGTCTAAGCTTAACTGTCCATTCTCATGATCACTCAGATAATCAGACTGTGCCAAGTCTTCCAAACTTTGGCTGGTGTTATCAGATAGTGTTTCTGATGATTGCTTGGCAAGCAACAGCTCATCATCAGTTGAGAAGTCAATCTCTCTTTTATCAGCATCATCACCAGAAAAACCTTGAACCACCTTCTCCTCAGAAATAGCCACAACATCTTGTACTTGTAGAGTGTCTATGGCATCAGCATTAACATTTGGGGCAGATCTGTCTGCTTTCAGTAATGCAATCTCGGCATCATTCATGCGTTGTGCAGCCTCAAGTTCAGCGGCAACAGCTTGCTCTGCTAAAAGCATTATTTTTGTGACATCTTCTTCTGCTTTTGCTACTTTCTTCTGTGCCTGTTCTGCAAGTTCATGCAATTTGTTCACTTCATTCTGCAACTCCTCCTTTCTACATTGCAAGCATCTCAGGTCATTCTCACAATTTGCTAAATTTGTCTGGCATTCCCTGATATCTTCCTGAGCAACCAAAAGTTCTTTCTCCTCTTGCATTATATCTTTATCACCATTACTCTTGTTAGAACCTTGTGGGGAATCGTAAACCCCTTTTGTAACCTCCAAAGAGTCTATGGCTACTTGAAGCCTTGCCTCAGCAAGAGAAAGAGCCATTGTTGCTTTCTGAACAGCTTCTTTGGCAACAAATTCTTGACCCACAATATCTTGGATGACATCAAGGGTAGAAGTAACATTGTTCCAAGCACCTGCTGCTTCATCCTGCAAAAAAATCGCAGTCTCCGATATCTTTTTAACCTTTTCCTCAAACACAATGCTGTTAACTCGAGCAGCTTCTAATTCTTTCATGGCCTTTTGCAACAGTTCTTTCAATTCATCCACATTTTGTACCTCTACTTCTACTTCACCCCCAACTTCTTTCCTCCCTTCTTCTCCTCCTCCCAAAGGTACACTCGATTCAGCACCGGAAATGGACCTCAAATCAGAGTCCTCACCCACACCTTCCACCCTATCAACATTCCGACCATTGCCATTGACATATGCTAAAGAATCATCACCCTGACAATTTGACCAAACCTCCCTATTTCCCCTAAAATGTTTATTATTCTTCCAAGACAAACTCCTCTTCCCATTTGAAACACTCAACTCACCTACGCAGTCTACTCTTGGACTTCTCCTACTAAAACGAGCCTTTGAAATAGTCCTCGAGTTGCCGAGAAAAGAACAACCAAAACCTCTCCCTCCAAATACAATGCAAGAATCCAAACCATCCAACACCACATTTGACTTTGACAAACTGAAAGCTATATCCATGTTATCCTCCAAAACCAAACACTCTCACAGTTCAATACATTCTACAAACAATTCCTCGAAAAACCTGAAACGAAACAGAAGAGTCCAAAACCGAATTAGAAACCTCAACACTACAGTCAGCAACACAACAGACTCAAAATCACGTTGAAACACAACTCAATCGTGATTTTGCCAAATATTTTATATCATTAGTGAATGATAATGAGTTCGGAGCACACAAACTATAATCAAACATGCACGAAGCAGCATTTTCGCATTCAATTCAACAGAAAAATATCTTTTAAAAAAAAAAACAAGTGTTTCGGGTATTGCGGAATTGAATGGTTGGTGAAATTACCGAAATGAGGAGAAGTGAATGTGGTAATGGAATTTCCGAATTCGTGTGTTGGAGAGAGGGAAATGAATGAGTTGTGCTGCGTGTGGGTGTTGTTAAAACGGTCAGCGAAGTGACGAAGCAGATATATAGGAGGGAGAGGATATTATTCACAAGCTTTGTCTCACTCGCGGCTAACGCGCGTGGGCCTCACAGTCACAGTCACAGTCTCACCTTCATTCACAAAACGATAATAAATAAATAAATAAAACATGTTTTCCTTATTATACGAGTATTTAACGCATGCTTAACAAAACTTTGAGATATTTAGTTAATCTAAAACTTCACAAAAAAAAAAAAATTAGTTAAGCTAAAATAATTTCATATGCACTTTTCTTATATTTGTTTAAAGGCTATAGAAAAGGATTTTGGGACAATTCTTTTATTTCTATGACAGGGTGAGAAAGCCATACTTTTGTAAGAATATAGAAAACCATTTTCTAATATACTTTAACTTTCATTTTACTTGTTATTTCTTCTTAGAGCAAATGATATTATTTTTTTATTGAGAAAGAAGGTTATTATTCTATCATTTCATATTATATTAAAATATATAATTTAATTTAGTTAACTTAATGTTACAAAAAAAAAATACACTTATTTCATATGAGAAATATAAATATTAGGTTATCCTTTCTACAAATATTAAAATATAGGATAAATTACATTTTTAATTTTTAGATATATTAGTATTGCATCATTATTCTCATATTATATTAAAATATGATAAAATAATATTTTATTAGAAGAAACCTGTTTATTTAGATATTTCTTAAAATACTTTATTAATAAAATCAATTAAATAATCTCATAAATTTATATATTACCTTAATTTAATATATATATATATTATACCATATAATAAAAATATTATTTTATTTAAATATTTATTAAATATTATATTAACTACATTAAATAAATACTACCTTAATACATGTGTTTGACTTTATTTTACTAATATATATATTTTAATAATGAAAATATTTATTTTGAATATATAATTAATTTTATAAAAGTTGTAAAATAATAATTAAATGTGCAAATGAAGAGATAAATTATTAAAGTGTAACACTTGTATTAAAGGAGAAAAGTGTTTATTATAGTCTTAGAAGAGAGGACAATATATTATTTACTTCCTATATTCTTTATTATAAGAAGAAAAAAAAATAAGCAGATTTCAATTATTTTTATCATGTTCTTCCTAAAATATATCTCATTTAATGTATCATTTTTCAGTTACACTACATTTTTTTTTTTACATTTATAATAAGAATAAATTACAAAAAAAATATTATAAAATTAGTAAAATTTAATATAGCTAAATAGTTTTTTAATGTATAAAATTGATTTTTTCTTATAATAGAAAGCAGAGGGAGTACATCTTTAAAAGATGTTAAGAGACGTTTAATACGTGGAATATTTTTACTTTTCTTAGAATCTTAAATTGAGAAATTTGATTTCTCATTGATATTTATTTTAAAAACAAAAATTGTTTTACTTTTTTTAGAATCTGAAATTGAGAATTTTGATTTCTCATTAGTATCTATTTTAAAAACAAAAAAAATTCAAGAATATAATTTCACTAAAATCATTTTATCCCACTCTCTCATTTTGTTTTATCCTTCTTAATTATTATGTAATATTTTTCTCTATTTATTTATTTTATTTAAAATAGTATAATTTCATAAATGTAATAAGATTTGAGTAAATAAATTCATGTAATGAGTTTATTTTAATAAATAATTTAAAAAAGAAGAAGTATTTATATACTTAAGAATATGATATTGTAACCAAACATGAAAATCTTTAATTCTTACAAATCTTATATGAATATTCCTAGTAATTTTATGAGTAATCAAACATATTTTAATTATGTCTAAAAGTCATGATTCACAAGTTTTGTAATTTCTAAAAATCATGAGTCTTGGGGTATGAAAAATCTTATCTCATACTAAATGTCCCCTTAGTGTAAGATATTTTGGTAATAAATTTTTTTGTAATAAAAGTTAACAAAATTCTAATGAAAAATTAAAAAAAAATAGATAAAATATTATATATTGAAATATGTCAAGAAAGAAAATTGTAATTTTCACATAAGAGATAGGACAATATAATATTTGCATCTCTCATGTGAAGAAAGTGTAATTTACACTATTTTTTATTTATATTATTTTGAAATTTAAAAATGAGGTTTGTTAATTACATTGACTTATTTTTTAATTGGAGAAGGGTAATAAGTTATAACTATTTTTTTTTTTAAAGTATCATGTATGACTTGTTAGTTTATTCTAAATTAAAAACAAGTTAGCGTTAGTCAACATGCATCTTTAAAAATTATTTTCAAGAATATTAAAATATAAGTAAACACTCTTGAAAATATACCCAAGAAAAATACTTTCAATTATAATATTATTCTCATGAACACAATATGATATTTTGAAACAAACATCAGAATGGACATAGTTAATCATTTTGGTATACTCTAAACTAGGAAGCTTCTCACCTGAATTCAACGGCCACCGGCAGCGCGTGAAGTGTGGTTAGTTAATCATTTTGGTATTGATTCCATGCTAATTTCGGAATATATATAGCTATAATGATGAATGGACACTGAAACTGCTTACAAAATATCCAAACTATATTTTGTTTCTAATGGAGTCTCTTTTGTCTGATACACAGGTATATTCTCCACTTCGTTCTAATGTTCGAAAAAATATTTTTTTATTTTATATAACAATACTCACACTAAATTTATTTACAACAATGTATGAAAAGATTTGTGTTTTATTTAAACTATTATTTTAGTTCCTGTATTGCATAATGATAATATGAATATTTATTTTATATAATTAAAATTTATAATAAATATATATTTGTAAATATATAAATTATATCATAATAAAAATTTATGATCAATAAATATTTTTAATATACAAATTATACTTTGGATTTTTAATAAATAATTTGAATTATAAGGCTATTTTTAAATTTGAAGGGATAGATATTTAAGAAAATCAATTATATAAGTAAAGACAAAACAGAGAGTAATTTGAGGTGATTGTGAGATATAGTTGTTTAATTGTTTGCCAGTTGAGGAAATTATGTGTGAATTCAAGATAAAGAAATATTATTAAAAGTTGTTTAATTGAGAGATGGAATTAAAGTCTTTCTTATTTAATTGATAATTCTTATTAAAGTTTTATGTCTTCAAATCAAATATTATCACTGTTCACTACTATGATTGCAGGATAGGATAAAAATTCCAACAACAAAGACACAAAAGAACACATGGCTCAAATGTTTTGCTAGAAACATTTCAATACATCAACAGACAAACCTCTCAAGTTACAATGAAACTCAAAAATATCTTGTGACAAATAGTGTCTTGAGAGTGCTACATAAACCAATGACCTTGCTCTGAAAGAGGGGGGAGGAATTAATTAACTGAAACAAATACATGTTTCATTCAAGAGGTTTCTTCTTCTTGTGTTTGGTCCTCAGATTCTTCTGGTGCATGTGATGGCTCCTCAATAAATAGTGGCTCAGGAGGTGTGGAGGAACCAGTCCTCTTGTGTGCAGCAGCTTGGAGCACATGGCTGTAGTTCCCTTTCTCCATGAAAAGTTGTGCAAAGTGGACCCTGCAGTAGAGGACACCATCTAGAGCAGCATAGTTTGAATGTGTGAGAGGGCACCCTGCATGTTCACACCTAAAACAAGTCTTGTGGAAGCATTCTCCTTCCAGTGTCATCTGTTTCATAAACCATATTAATGCGTGGTTAGTTAGATTTGTATTTTGTTAAGTCTAAATCCTAGTCCATGTGATTTCAAATCAGTGTACAAATTTAATTACAAAAATGTTACATTATATTCTGTTTCAAAAGCTTGTATCAAAAGGATGAAAATAGAGAACAATAATAGCATTTTTTGGGAAAACAAACTTGTTTTCACTGTTTTCTGACACATGGGGAAGATTGGAGATTACAAACCTTTTCCAATGGATAGACTGTTTTTGAGCAGACTGAACATTTGTCCAGGGTGCCACTGAACATGGAAGATACCTTGCTTGGTGCTCTATTCTGTTAATATCATGATAACTTGTATATTAGAAAGAGCAAATAACAACAATAATAATAATATAAAGTCTCACGGGAAGATATCTCAAGGCAGCAAGAAACTGGAAAATTATTAGACAATTTAGGACCACCAGATGCCAAGGGTCCCAATCAATCTTTGCATGATATGTATTTAAGCTTTTTAGTTATGAGAAAAAATTAATGACACTTGATAATACATCATGTAAAGAATAGTTAAAGATCGTGTCAAGATTATCTAATAATTTTTCGATAGATCTTAGATGTTTGTAGAGTATAATTGATAAAGTATAGGTCAAGGTAGGATAGTGAACATACCAGGTCGCTTTGCCTCTCAGTAGACTTTGCTGCAACATTTAGAGTCAAGAAAACAACATAACTCATTAGTGTATTTAAAAGAAAAAAGACATGTTCTGATTTTCCTACCTACTTTGTGAGATTGGATGAGAATATGAAAATAGAACAAAAATATTTGCCAAAAGAATGTCTTTGTCTTACCAAAGTTCTTGTTGAAATTGCCAGATTCCTTGAAAAGCTGTTCAAAATGAGTCTTGCAATAGAGAACTCCATCCATTGAGGAGTATGTGCACATCTGACCAATATTAAGTAATATATTATGGCACCCCAAGTTTTGGATCAATGTTTAAAGGACATTTAATATTCCCTATGTTTTCTATTATAAACAACAAAAAACACACATTTTTTTCTTAAATATAAATAAATTTTAATTATTTTTATCTCATTTAATAATATTTTCTCTAAAATACTAATTCTTTAATGACATTTTAATTACACTATTCTTTTTGACATTTATAATAAGAACAATATAGAAAAATATTATGAACTTAATAAAATTTAATGCAGCCAACTAATTTTTTTTATATGTGTAAAATCAATTTTTTTTAACTTATAATAGAAAACAGAAGGAGTAGTGTCATATCAAGATACTTTAATGTGTTTGTGGATTAACTGATTTTGTATCTAGAATAAAAATCTTTGAGATGATTTTTCAAAAAGAAATCTAAAAATTAATCTTTCTCAAACATGCAATAACAACATAGAAAGGAGAAGAAGCAAGAAAATGAATGGTATTGAAGATCTATACCGTGAGATGTCCCTTGCAGTGGCTACATTTGAAGCAGTTTTTGTGGTAAGGAATACCTTCAAGAGTTAACAAGTCAACCACATAAACAGTCTTGTCACATGCATTGCATTTGTCAAGAGTTCCTGTAAATGACATGCTTGATTCTCCCCTTCCTTTATTTGCTTGTGTTTTTTTTTCTTTTTTCCCTTTAGGGATGTCTGAGGAACCAAGAGAAGTTCAACAAGAATATGTGCTCCTCAGACAAAAGGGAATACTGAACAAAGTCTTGGATTTGTCTTCGAAAAAGTGACTTATATCAACATATGCTACCAATGGTAAGTGGTTGACAAGAGTTTGGAGACCAAAAATCATGTGAAGCAAAAATGGAAAGTTTTGTTGTGATTTGTGGATATGATCCAATTTGATGGAGTGAAACCAGGTTGGTGTGGTTTGACCATTTCATTGAGTGGAAATTGTGTGGTACAACAAAATTAGCTATTTCCAACTTTTTTCATTTACTATTTTGGCATGATTAAGACGCAACTGCTTAGATTTTTGGAACTGTAACATGGCATAGTCCAAATTAACCATATTGAATTTGATAAATTAAGATACTGTATTTTTAACATGTTTTAGTTAGGATAATTCTAAAAAGAGGAAACCTTCCTAGTTTTTATCCTTCTTTCTTGAATCTAGAAACAAGGAAACAGTTTCTCCTCCGTGGATCTGTATCCCCATATTTAAAAGGTTATTTTATTTGTTTACTAAAAAATCGAATAATTGTAGAGTCTTTGAATTAATCATAGAACTATGTGTAGACACCTACACTGTTTGGGTAGTAAAATTGTATAAATCATATAATTGTATATCCAAAGATATAAATTCTTAGAAGTGAATTCATTTTATAATTTCTTAAATAATAAAAATAAAATAGCGAATGCTAATCATCCTATCTTAACCACATCATCAAAGTAAGAGTGCTTTCTCCAAGTATAGTTTGTGTTAATCTCATTCGTGATGGTACTATTTGGTACACACCTTATTATTTTTTCTCAAATTTTCTCTGGCTTTCTCAAATTTCTACTACGACAAAAAATATGTGGAGAACGTCTTCTCCATTGTTCTATGATTCTATCTTCTTAAATAAATTGTATTTTAAAATTCAGTATTATCACTTCTTTATCAATAATTATACTTAACTAAAAGGCATCTAAACCGAAAGACTCTAATAGATGAAACACTAAAGTGAGTAAGAATTGAATAGGATGCAAGGATGGAAAGAGACGGTAAGATGAATGACGTGGTTTACAATTACACCCAAAAATGCCTGTGCTAACGTGACTTGACAGGAGAGAACGTTCAATTGTTTATATTAATGTACACAACTTTCATTTCAAATTTTATATATTATAAATAGATACACACTTAATTGCACTTAAAGAAATTGTATAATGAATTTGCATAGTTTCTTTTTGCAGACTTTTTTTTAATATATTGTTTTTTTAATTATTTAAATCACTTGGCCCATTTTTATTTATCAAAATAACTAGTTTTTAAGCTCAGGCGAAAAATCGGTTACTGAGTAACCAATTTCTCAAAAAGATTTTTAAAACAAATTTCAAAATTTCTTTGAGAAATCGGTTATTCACTTGGGATTTTTTTTTTTTTTTTTGTTTTTTGTTTTTCAGATTTTTAAAAAAGAATTGTTTTTTATTTTATTTTTTGATTTTCAGATTTTTAAAAAAATTATAATTAAATTAAAATTTTAAATTTATGTATCATATTTTAAATTTATGTTAAAAATAAAGATAATGTTAAAACTTATTTATTTAATTAAAAAGAAATTTATTTTAAAAAAAATAGGGATAATTTAATTTAAAATTCCCAACTTTAAATAAGAAGAAAATAACAACAACAAAATAGGAGATCGAATAAATAAGAACAACAACACAATTACAATCCACCAAATTATAATCCAACTTTAATGATGTTCGGAGGTTGTCGGTTCCTTGTTGGGTTTCGACGACCAATGCGTGGTTGTTATGGTTCAACTTGCTCCTCATCATGTTCTATATGAACAGTTTCGGTGGCTGGATTCGACGAAGCACTTCCACCGATCTTAGAGTGATAAGAAGAAAATGAAGGAAAATTCATGCTTTGCATATAATCATGTGCACTTTGTGACGTGTGTACGTCGATGCCAAAAAGATTGTTCATGAAGTCTCCTGTTGGAGTTGTTGTTAATGGTGGGGTGTACATGAATTGTTCATTTGACCTATGGAGGTGTTGTTTCCACAACATAGTTGAAGATGAAGAAGACATTTTTGAAAAACAATAGCAACGAAATTGAAGAGTGCAATAGTTGAAGAGAATTGATCTTTTGTTGTGTATTTAGGGTTGGATTGTATGTAGTGTATATATAGTGCAAAAAATTTGAATTAGTTTGTTTCAATGCGTCAAGAATCCAAAGACTTTGTGCAAAGTGTTATTGTCTTGGCCCTAGAGCATCAGAATCCAATGAATTTGTGTAGAGAGTCATCAATTGCTTTGTCCTAGAGTGTAAGAAATTTAATGTTTTATGCAAAGTGTCATTGCCTTGGTCCCTGAGCGTCAGGAATCCAATGACTTTGTACAGTGTCATCAATTGCTTTGTTCCAGAGTGTTAGAAAATTAATGCTTTACGCAGAGTGTCATTGTCTTGGTCCCAAAGCGTCAGGAATCCAATGAATTTATGCAATGTTATCAATTATTTTTTCCTAGAGCGTCAGAAATTTAATGTTTTACGTAGAGTGTTATTGCCTTGGTCCTAGAGCGTCAAGAATCCAATGACTTTGTACAATGTTATCAATTTCTTTGTCCCAGAGCATCAAAAAATTAATGTTTTACGCAGAGTGTCATTACCTTGATCCCAGAGCGTTAGGAATTCAATTACTTTGTGTAGTGTCATCAATTGGTTTGTCCCAAAGCGTCAAAAAATTAATGCTTTACACAGAGTGTCATTGCCTTGGTCTTAGAGCGTTAGGAATCTAATTACTTTGCATTTGTCCACGTTAGCTTGCAAGCATGTTGCTTTAGTTCTATATAATGTTCTGTAACAAAGGCTAAAATGCATCAAATTGAAACATCCAATCAATGGAGTCGTTAACTGTTCCGACCACTGTTTATTATGATGGACAAATTATCTCCACTGAGCATGGAGATACATTTGTTAGCAACGTGGTTAGAACCCTACTAGTAAGCAACGGGATGACTTATCAGCAACTTAAGCATGTTATTAATGATAACCTTAATCTTCCTCATTATAAAGTTGTCATAAATATCTACTACTGATACCCAATTTCATGTATTGGTGGTGTATATAAATATACAGTGTGTCGTCTTAGGGATGTGAAGATGTGGAGTGTATACTTTTATTGTTCATAGAACTGCACGACCTAACAAGTCTCGAGTTGTATGTTACGATGACATATATTGGATTATTGCATGGGATGGAAGCGATTGAAAGATACATTAACCAAGCAATGAAGTTAGATAACTAATGTTATATGATTTAAGGTTTATGTTATTCATCTATTATGTTTGAAGTTTGTTTAAATTATTTTTTTTAAGTTATTTTCATTTTAATGATGTAACCGTTATAATTATTGTACTAAATATATAATATCATTAATATTTAATAAAATAATATTATCATTTATTTAATAATAAATTTAATTATCTATAATTATTAATACAAAATCAATATATTTATTATTATATTACATTATTCAATTTTCTATATTTAATAAATTTAATTTAAATAATAAAATCAATTTTAAAATCCTAAAATTTATTAAAATAAATAAGTTTTAA